AGGGAGTTTGTATTCTTGTAGGGTATGAAAGACAATAAACTAAATAAACTCAGTTTCCTTCCACAAGATCATGTAAAGGAGTCACAAGATGTCTATAGAGAATGGTATAGTATAGCCAGAAGGGCACAGGCTTTGGTGTCAGGATTCCTAGGTTTAAGTCCTGGCTCTGCCGCTTCCTAGCTGTGCGACTCTGGGAAAATTACTCAACCTCTCTGAGCTTCCATTTCTTCAAGTGTAAAACAGGAATAATAATCCCTATCAACCTAGATTGTTAGGATGAATACATGAGATAATCTATGTAAAACCCAAAAAGTAGTAGAACGCCATGGATAGGAACACTATTACTATTGCCATATCATTATTATTATTATTATCATCATCATCATCATCATCATTATTATTGATGCTGATGCCCTAAGGCTACCCTGAGTCCTCATAGTCTGTGATTCCCTGAAGAAACACTGGTTTCTGAGTCACAGATGATGGGGGTGTCTTCCAGGGAACGCTTTTACTCAGTCCGTTCAGCCATCTGGCAGGACCCCCTTTTCACACGCCCAGTACAAGTGGTCCCTTCCAGTGGAAACAGGCCATCTCATCTCCTAATTTGCTGAAATGACACGTGGACCCTTTCCGCTCACAGGAGCAAGAGAAGCGAGTCAGGAGGGAGCTGGGCTGAGGAGAAAGTGGAGCCCGAGGAGCTGTGTGCAGCTGCAGATTCAATCACAATTAACAAAAGCCACCTGGGGAACCGGGCTGTGCTGGGCATGACTGGGGCCCATTTGTTTGCAGGCTGTGGGTTGCCAGGGCTTTGTTAGCAGCCCTCAGCGCAGGCCCCGCAGGAAGACTTTATTTGCTTTTCCTGTATGCCAGCCCTGTCGGGCAGCCTTCACTGTATAACCTGGCCTACATCTGACGACTGTGTTCAGAGGGGGGCCAGGTTCGTGGAGCCTGGGAAGATTTGAATTTTAATCAGAATGTTCTTTCACCCTTAACACTGCTGCTCCCAGGCTAGTGAATTTCCTGCCCCGAAACCCTTCAGCACACACATACACACACCCTCCCCTTTATACTTCTCATGCCCTTTTCACAGTTCATATATTTATGTGACATTTTCTTTAAATATGGTTTTATAGATATGAGAGAGAAAGAGAGAGGGAGAGAAAGAGAGAGAAATATCGATGTGAGAGAGAAACATTAATCAGCTGTCTCCTGCACACACCCCGATTCCAAGTCAGGGCACATGCCCCGGTTGTGGGCAACCTGGGCATGTGCCCTGACTGAGAATCAAATCTGTGACCTTTCGTTGCATGGAAGGGCGCTCAGCCAACTGAGCCACACTGGCCCGGGCCATGTGCCATTTGACCACGTCCGCCTCTCCTGGGTATTGGAAATGTCAAGCAGGTCAGGTGCTCTGTTCACTCCTGCTGACATGGCTTCCCCACAGTGTGGGTCCCTCTTACAATTAGGTTGTTGGATTTAGCAAATGAAACCACAAGATGCCCACTTAAATTAGAAATATGAATAATGAATGATTTCCAGTTAAAATATGTTCCGTACAATCCTTGGGAGATATACTGTGAATTATTGGTTATTTATCTGAAGTTCAGATGTAACTGTACATCCTGTATTTTACCTGGCAACCCTAATTACAGCTTGTCTGTGTTGCTCAGTAAATACATACATGAATGAAGAAGTGAACAAAGCTAATGCATGATCAAAAACAGAAAACCAAATGCAGATATTTTACTGGGAAGTACACAGGAACACCTTAGGGGTGATTATTTCAAGGTGATAGGATTATTGCAAAATTTATGTTTTTCGATGTGATTTTGTACACTTTTCAATTTGACTGACATGAGCAGAAAAGTTTTCAAATACCATATAGGTACGTACTATCTTAAACAAAATAAACCTGCTTACAAGGGAAACAATTTGTGTTTTCCCTCAGCCTGAAACCCAGAATTTTCTGAACACATCCCTGTGGTAAGGGATATTTTGGGAATACATGAGAAGATTATTGAAAGCAATATTGAGAAGCATATTCTGCATATCAGTAAACTAGAGTAAACTGGAATACACAAAGGGGTACAAGGAGTTCAAAAAATATTGCTGCTATTTTACTAACCGTACAGTACTTCTTAAGAAAATTGGCTCCTGAAGCTTTGGGAATGTAAAAGTAAGTCCAGTTAAACCCAAGACACAAATCTTGATTAATTGTACATAACATACTGGGGATGCTTTGATTTTTTTTGTTTGATTTTCAGAATGAGGGTGGAAAACCAAGTAAGACAAACATAAGCTCTTATAGAGAATGAGTTGAAGACCCCTCCTTCCCCCTCCCCCGACAACTTCCCAGGATGCCTTGTTCCAAGCATCATTTAAATGTACTTTGGGTGTTTAATAATGAGCATGTTCAGAATGCTTCACCTTAATGGGGCAAGGAAAGGAACTAGAATCTGTAAGATGCTTACTACGTGCTGGGCACTGAGCATAGCACTTTGTCCCATTTCATTCATAAAAACAACCCAAGTCATATCCATTAACCCTACCTTAGAACAATGTGACTTAATGATAAAGATTTCTCACAATCACACCTCCAGAAGTATTGCAAGGTGCTGAAGAGTCGTGGAAAGAGTGACTTACATTTACTGTGCTGTACTTACTAAGGCAGACAGCATTTTTAAAAAAATATATTTTTATTGATTTAAGAGAAGAAGGGAGAGGAAGAGAGAGATAGAAACATCAATGATGAGAGGGAATCATTGATTGGCTGCCTTCTGTGTGCCCCACACTGGGGATAGAGCCCGCAACCCAGGCATGTGCCCTTGACCGATATCGAACCTGGGACCCTTCGGTCAGCAGGCTGACACTCTGCCCATTGAGACAAACCGGCTAGGGCAAGACAGCATTTATTAGAAGATCTTTAGCTCAGGGTTTGAAAGACAAAGGTTTTCTGCTATACCTTGAGGAATGGTACCCCTCCCAGTTTTCAGTTCTGAACGTGGGGCTAGAATCATGGGATGAGGGGTGGGGTGTCTCTTCTCTCTCCTCTCTCAGTGTTAATGGTGCCCAATGTTCCACTGTGAGACTCAGTGTGAGAAGATGGAAGGACAGGGTAGACGTCATGTTGTCAACAAGTCAGTGCCCATGGAGAACAGAAAGTCATCTGGAATGATACCATGTCAGCAGATTGCAAAGTCTGCAAACTGTGGCTAGCTTAAAGTCTCATAACACCCACCCATGTGGTAGGAAAAAAACAGGATTAGAATGAAATCAGCCTTACCTACTCAGTGATGAGAGACAAGCAGGGAAGGGTAAAAGGCTAAGTCTGTCTTTATGAAGGGCTCCTGGTCTTAAAAAGAGAAAATTAGTTGAGTGAACTTTGAAAGAAAGAAAATGCGACTTTGGACAAAAAGAGCCTGTGAAGTGAGAGCACTTCCTCATTTTCAGAGTGGAGAGAGATGGAAAAAAGGCAATTTGATGATGATTGCTAAGGATGGGGAAGTAAGAGCTGCCTCCGTTTAACTCTTTCCATGGCAGCGTGTTCAATGGGCCACTCTAAAATACTGCCTGAATACAGGAGCCTGAGCCAAAATTAGACCCTCCCATGTCTCAGTCGTGCAGAAGCTATAATAGACCTGTTTCCAAGCCACACGGAACCATCTTCTATTCAATGGCAGTGGATAGCATTTGGGCAAAGTGCATAGTAAGTGAAGTGTGTTCATTAAAGATGGAGAGAGACAGGTTTCATGCACTCGTTCCTCCAGAGGAATGTCCCTAAATGCACAGTGACATGTCAATTATTTTTCCATTAGCATTCACTGGATAAAGACCTTTTTCTTGCCTTTGCTGGCAAGGAAGCACTGCTTGGTATGCATATTTAAATGACAGTCCTACGGAATTAGCTTTAAGAATTGGCTCTGAACATAATGGCTGCCTTCAAATGTAGAGCAAAGTGAGACGGCCACAGAAAGACTTCCACACACAAGAAAAGAGCAGGAAGTCATAGATAAGGCAAGCCTCGCCATTTTCTAAGCATGGGGTTGTAATAATGGCTTTGAAAACAGATCACTTAAGGTAGCTCCAGCTCTGTTAAAACCTATATGGAGAGAAAGGCAGCACCTATCCTCGCTTCAAGGAAACCAGCTTTATTGCCAATCATTTGAAAGTATGTTTTTGTTGATTTTAGAGAGAGGGGAAGGGTGAGGGAGAGGGAGATAGAAACATCTATCTATGAGAGAGAAACATCGATCAGCTGCCTCCTGGGGATTGAGCCTGCAACTGGGCATGTGCCTTGACTGGGGATCAAACCAGAGACCTCTCTGTTATTGCCAATCATTTAAAGGAGAAAGCCCTTAGTACAAGTTCTATAGATCAACCTCATGTCAGCCAGTGATGCCACATTTTGTACCTAAAGTCTCTGCCCCACGGTTAATGGGGGAAAGTATCTAATGAGTGAGGAGACATCTGAACTCATTCCTTCAACCTATTTAATTACAACGATCTTAAAATATAAAACTTGATCTCAAGGGCAAGAGAAACTGTGACAACTAGACCAAGAAGTACTTATTGGTGACAATAAAACAGCTATTTTGTTTCATTATCAAGTCAAAGACACCGAGGAGAACAAGAATCCTTGAGGAAGATCCTAAGAAGGACTTTGCAATTGCACACCTAGAAATCAAGGTACGCTCATACCACAGTATTGGGGGTGAAGACGGGGTATCTCCATTCAGAGGTGCAATAAAACCATTCACCACAGCCCTGGCCCATGTGGCTCAGTTGGTTGGACATCATCCTGTCCACCCAAAGGCTGCTAGCTGGATTCCCTATCAGGGCATATGCCTGAGTTTCAGGCTCCATCCCCCTGCCGGGGTAGGGGGTGTGCAGGAGGCGGCAGATCGATGCTTCACTCTCACATCAATGTTTCTCTCTCTCTCTCTCTTCCTTTCTCTCTCTTTAAGAAATCAATTAAAATTTATATTTAATAAACCACTTACCACAAATTAACCAGGAAAGGGTGCTCCAGACCCTGCATGATCTGCAGTTCCTTGAAGACATTTCTCACTTCATTGCGCTCGACACACTTCTGTTTGTTCATGTATTTCATTGCATACATCTTCTTGGTATCGTTCTTCTGAACGATGCAGACCTATTGGGGCAAACCAGAGTGAGAAAGTGGTTAGGGAGATGACAGATCATAGTGATGAGCGACAGAACCAGATGCGTCCTTCAGCATGGCTTGGAGGCCTTACCACTTGCAAATTCTCTGACGCTAAAGTTGCCACTTAGTTCTGATTTCAGAGTAAAAAAACTTCATTTTCTTCCCATGTACATGATCAATTCCTAAATCTTTGCTTTCTCAAAAGAATCTGCCTGTTTTTGCTTTGGGGACTTTTTTAAAACAGCATTTTGGAGAAAATAGCTGCCTCCTTGTCAGGAAACTTCCCGTAGCAAATGCCATCCTCATTCTGCTTGAGTGACTTAAATGAATGGGCAAAGCTGTCAGGCTGAATGATATTGTGCACAGAATTTCTGTTTGTGCCCATAAGTGATATAACGAACCAAAAAAGACTTTTCAGAAAGGGATAACATGAAACACGATGTCCATATTTTTGACGTATTTTTAGAGGTTCATATAAAGCCTGGTAATGTGGACAGCAATACTTTTAAAATGCAAGTTCAATATGAAATATTCTCTAGATACATCTCCACTAAGACGCTAATAATCAGGGTTTGAATCTAGAAGTTTCTTCCAAAAAATTAGACTCGATATGTATATTTGTCATGGTAGGATTTTCAAAAAATAAAAACATGGTACGACTTGGGAAGAACAGAAATCAGGTGGCATCTTTCCCACATGAAAAGGTTTAATGCTTACATTGACATCTCTGAATTATTCCTGGTGGTCCCAGTAACTCAGTAATCTGAACATTCTTGGACTCTGTTCCCTGAGCTGCATACCTATTAATCATTTGGATTCTCACCTTCCCAAAACTGCCTTTCCCAATGGCTCGCAGAATTTCAAAGTGGTCAAAGTTGACTGTAAGGCAAACAGAAGAACATTGTAAGTGATTATCAGTTGTCTTTTAGTAGCTAATAAATAATAAATAAAGATTGGGCTAAACCGAAGTACCTTGTTTAAAACAAGATTCCAGACTAGCTTAAAATGCCCATTCATTTATTCAATAAATATCTCTTGAACATTGTATTATATAATGCCGTAATCACAGTGCTTAGTACTGGAGGATACAGTAATAATAGAGTAGAAATCTAACCTCTACCCATATGGAGCCTGTGGTCCTGTGAAGACTCCACACAAAAAAGAAACCCTTAAGGATTAAACAGTCGCAAAAATAAGTGGACAATTAAAACTGCTGCTGAATGTTAGGAAGGATAAAGTTGTGGGGCTCTAAGAGCGTGTACTGGGATTTCACACAGGCGACAAAGTCAGGGGGAGCATCTCTGAACACAGATGTCTATGGAGAGATCTGGTCCCCTGTGGATCTGGTCCTACTAAGGATCAGCACTTCAAATATCTTCTCCCTGCCTATTCCCCCCACAACCAACCACTCTTTTGTATCTTAATAATTTTCATTTTCCCAAGTAGAAAACTATTACACTCATAAGTTCATAGAATGAGCCGATCCCTAAAGGACATTTCTATGAGATTAGCATGAACATGTGGACAGAGGCTACTGAATGGTGCTATGAAATGCAGATGATCTTTTACACCTGCCATTTTTAACACTTCAGCACCGAGAAGTCAAAAGCAGTAGCTGTGTATAGGTGGCATGGTCTCTTGGGTCAGTGCTCATGAAATGCTTGGTGATGAGAAGAGCCAAGTATAGATTCTCTTAGGTGACAGTTTTTGGTTTCTTGCCTTGATGATTTTGAGGAAACATTCCACTTGTTTCCTGGTTTTTGAAATAAGGATTTAGATGAGTAAAATTCCAAATGAGGAATTATAAGAGCTTATTCGGAAAGGGTTGGGAAACACTAAAAGGTACCACTCTTCTTTTTAAAAGATGTTTTTTCTCTCTCTCTCTCTCACTTGCTCGCTCAAAATAATTACACTATCTCTTCCTGAAGGAAAGAGAAATAAGTAACGGGACCTCTAAAGGTTTTTCCAAGCTTTCTGAGGGTCAAAACATGTCTATAATATAACTTATGGATGAAAAAGGGGCCACATACTAGACCTAACAGGCTCAGGGGAGCCTGTATGGCGGGTCTTACAAACTCAGAGACCCTAAAGTAACCACATAGGATGGTCTGAAATGAAAACTTCCTAGCCCAGCTGATGTAGTTCAATGGTTGAATGTCAACCTGTGAACCAGGAGGTCATGGTTTGATTCCTGGTTAGGGCACATGCCTGGGTTTCAGGCTCAATCTCCCAATCCCTGGTAGGGGGAATGCAGGAGGCAGCTGATGGATGATTCTCTCTCATCATTGATGTTTCTATCTCTCTCCCCCTCTTCCTTCCTTTCTGAAATCAATAACAATATATTCAAAGAAACAAACAAAAAACTTCCTAACTAAAAGCAAGTCATTGTGGGAAATAATATCCTAGGCAGGTATTTTCTTTGACAAACGACGATCATTACCTTATGTGAGCCTGTCTATTGTCATTTTTGCATCTATAATAATATAACTTTGGAATGTCAGAGTGATCCCATTTCTCCAGATCACTCCCAGAACCCCTCATGGTTATTCTCCTGCATACACTCTCTATATGCTGTAAATGTTAATTGTTAATTATCCTATACCCACCAATGTAAAAGAAGTATGTGTCTATCTGTTTTACTTTTTATCCAATCTCAGAGATTTCCCTACTTTGCTTTCTCCCTAATCTACCACCAATAGATTTCATGTAACCTCCTTACATCTTCCCCTTTGATTCTGATGTACAAAATAACTGGTAAAACTGCCATTTTCTGGAGCATTTTGTCAGTCCATTGAGATTTTGCTTCCTAGCAATTGTCGTCAGTTTGGCTCAAGTAAACTCATAAACATTCACTACAGGTTTGAATGTTCCTTAAGTCAATAGACTTGATCATCACTTTCTCCTCTAAACTCCCAAATCAATTCATTTCTACCACTAAAGCCATTTAATCATGTGAGGCAGCATGTACATTGCAAATAATCCTGGTTTTAGACTCAAAATAGTGAAGTGACTTGACCTAGCCAATGTGGCTCAGTTGGTTGGAGCATCATCCTGTGCACCTAAAGGTTATGGGTTCAACTCTTGGTCAGGGCACATACCTAGGTTGGGGGGTCGATCCCCAGTCAGGGTTTGTATGAGAGGCAACTGATCAATGTTTCTCTCTCACATCGTTGTTTCCCCCTCCTCCCTCCCTCCCTCCCTGTAGCAAAGCCACACTCAATACTTCAGTGGAAAAGTGGGCAGAATCAACCCACCTGAGTCTGCTCAGTAGCATTCATGTAAATTCAATATACACCTTTTTGAGCCTGGACCCAGGCTCTTAACCAACATTTTTATGGTTGTCTTGGTGTTATTATCACACATCTACCTATCCCAGAGGCAGAATCAGGGGAACAAGGTGGAATTTCTTCATCTCTCCTTTTAGAATCAGATGAGCCAGGTCAGGGTTTTCTGAGTCTTTCTCTAACACAAACATGCTGATTGTGGAATCCAGGGCTGATGTTTTGATTTCCTTTGCTTTACTTCTCATACCATCTCCCCATTCTCAACATTCTGCGCAATAAACAGTGTTGAAGGAAAGAAAAGGGGAAACCCTCTTTACAGTTTATTATAACACTCAGACACTTGAAATTAGGAAAAAGAGCATTCTAGAAGATAAAGCAGATACAATATGGTGGTTAAGAGCATGAAACTCTGGGTTTGGGTTCTGGCCGGACTACTTACTAGCTATGAACTTGAAGTAAATTATTTAAGCTTTCTGAGTTTTAGTTTCTTCCTATGAAAAAAAATTGGTCATATACAGTATCCCTTCTAAGGTTATTATGAGGACTAGGTGAAATAAGATGTATCAAAGGTTCTTATTTAGGTATTTTTGGGAGAGAATAAGAACTCAATAAATGTACCACTATTATTGCTGGAATTTTTTGTAATTGTTACTATGTGAGTCATCTTAATATCAGCCCAGAATATCATTTGCCAAAACATTAGGCTAAATGATGTTGTGACTTCACACAGGACAAATTGCCAAGAATGTCACTTCCCTGAAGACAGACACTGGCCCGCCCTGTTTATCTCTATATCTACATTGCCTGGAACCCCTTGGGCAAGTAGCAGGTGGTAAACCCTTGTTACGTGGAAGAAGGAGGCAATAAAGTACCATCAGCAAAGTTTCCCAGAATATAAAGCTATATTTGGAGAAAAAATTTAAAGATAGTTTTTTTCCACGTTGACTTCCTAGCATATCATCATTTATAACAGGTACTTCCTAAGAAATGTCGTACCAACAACTTACTATCAAACGGCTTGTTAATGTGCTGGGCAATAAAGTGGGCTTCCATTGGAATATTATTATAATATTACAACTTCAGATTCATCTGGAGAAAATGGATTTATACCTTGAAAGCCTCAAGGATTGACTGACTTTCTGAGCTCAGAAGCATGGAGAGCTGCCATTCTCCACCCCACAAACTTCACAGTGACCGGCTATCCTAAGTGAGGCCATGGATGCAAACCCCAGGAACTGCAGGTAATTAACAGCAGGAGTCAGAGGGCATTTGCTTTGTCAGCACTGCGTCGTCTTTGAACAGAAATCACTGTATCATCCTATGCAGCACAGAAGAGCCAACATTAAGTGACAGTCTTCCATACACCTTGTCCAAATGAAGAGGGAATCAGTGCCTCTTATACATCTTGTCACTTTGCCCATTTTTAAGAAAAAGGACAGAAATAAACTAAGGCGTTCCTTACAAATATAATTCTTCCAGTGGATTTTACAGTTTTCCATTAATTAGATGAATGAATGTTTGGTCATCATGCTACATTCCCAATGGAGGCCTTTGCAAGGAAAGGCTCGCTTATACCCTTTTAAGGTAGTCACAGTAAGAGGGGGGGGAAAGCTAGTCACTTCTCCAGAAGCCACAGCTTTGCTAGTGAGTCAAATCAACAAATATTCATTCAACGTCTGTGTGCCCAGGACTCTGCTAGGCACTGATGATAAAACAAAAGGAGCCCTGGCTGGTGTGGCTCAGTTGGTTGGGCATCGTCCCGTGCACTGAAAGGTTGCCGGTTCGATTCCCAGTCAGGGCATATGCTCAAGTTGTGGGCTTGATTCCCTGGAAGGGGGCATGCAGGAAGCAACCAATTGATTCTTTGCTTTCACATCTCTCTCTCTCTCTCTCTCTCTCTCTCTCTCTCTCTCGCAAAAGGAGCCCTGGCTGGTGGGGCTCAGTTGGTTGGGCATCGTCCCGTGCACTGAAAGGTTGCCGGTTCGATTCCCAGTCAGGGCATATGCTCAAGTTGTGGGCTTGATTCCCTGGAAGGGGGCATGCAGGAAGCAACCAATTGATTCTTTGCTTTCACATCTCTCTCTCTCTCTCTCTCTCTCTCTCTCTCTCTCTCTCTCTCAAAATTAAATAAATAAATAAAAATAAATAAGAAAACAAAAGGAGCTTGGGACTAAGTCACATCCTCAGAAAACTGTGACTCATTCAGCAGTATTTGTGAGAACATTAAACTAGCTAATCAAATACACCATACCTCATTTTAACTTATTTTATTTTGCTATAGTGTGTAGTGTATGTATCTTTGGAATCCAATCTTTCCTCTTTCTGGAAGTAGAGAATTAGATAAGCATAAATAGGTACATGGGCAAATACAGCAGACAAATAACAGCCGCAGACTGTTACTATTTGGCATAGAAAAAGGCTCTCTGGACCTGCAGAGATGGGAAAGAATATTGTGCCATGAAAAGTTTGCTTCTTGGTTTTTGATGATGATTGAAAGCTTTGATGAAAGATAAATATTATTTGGGTCAGACAGAATTGCATTAGAATCCTAGCTCTGTTGTTTACAAGAGAAATAAAATTAGAAATTTACCTGAC